CGGCTTGCCGAAACAATTGGCTGATGGGCTCCACACATTTTGTTAGTTTCTGCCCATGTTTGGTCCACATTCGCCATGTTTCACTCGTCCCAAAAGTACCAAAAAACACGGACACCAAGTCCATTGATGACATGACACTAGCAGTCACTGGCACACTTGGATGTGCAGTTCCACTTGTGGGTATTGTTACAGGGGTTATATCCGAACTGATGGGGGCTAGTACTATGATTAGCGAAGGAAGTTTAGAAGTCAAACTTCCGACAATATGGACAGATGAAAAGCAGAGATGGGAAGAGGCAGCGAAGAGAAGAGAAGAAGAAAGAATATCAAAAAAGAAAAAGTCTCAGAAGAAAGAAGATCCAGGTGCGCGAAAAGGTAGGAAAGTCGCGAAACATGTTTTTCCAATGATTTGTGGCTCCGGAGGGTCGAAAAGTAGGCTCGCTAAAGCGGCGGGTGCGGAGCGAGCTGGCCAGATGAGAGATGAACAATTGCATGCCGTTGTGGCGCGAAGGTGCGCAAAGCACATTTCGAAGTCAAAATGTACAAAACACACCAGGTCCGGACCACTTTTGGAAGTTGAGATGTCGAAAAAGCGCACACCATTGTGGCGCGAAGCACATTTGCCAGTGAAAAGGGTAAAAACACCTCACGTTCGGAGCATTTTTAGAAGTTGAGATGATGAAAAAGTGCACGTCGTTGTGGCGGGTAGCACATTTCTAAGTCAAAATGTGCAAAGAACACCATGCTCGGACCACTTTTGGAAGTTGAGATGATGAAAAAGTGCACGCCGTTGTGGCGTGAAGCACATTTCGAAGTCAACATGTGAAAAGTACCACATGCTCGCGCCACTTTTGGGCCTTGAAGCGTTGTTTTGCGTGGCAAGCGGAAGGGATTGTGCACCTTACCAAAAGTGAGTAAAACCATGAGGGTTTTGTAGCATTTCCAAAAACGATGGCAGGCGTGTGACATTTGAAGAGGATCTGGAAAGATGCATTTTCAGTGGCAGGCACAGTACAAGAGACATGTTCATCAGAGCTGTTACGAGGTCCGGGTTTTTTCTGGAGTATCAGACCGTCAGGTTTGCTGAGATGATTTTGCGTGACAGGTGCAGCACTTCGTATGACCTGGCAGTGGTAGGCGCAGTGCTTTTGACAGGTGGAGTGGAAAAATCGCAACACGCATTTGTACGAGGCCGTCAGCTCTGCACTCAACTTTCCATTTTTGAAGGACGTCTTGCAAAATTGCTTTGTTTTTGATGTTGTCAACTTCAAAAAATGAGGACGTCTCGCAGAATTGCTTCGTTTTTGATGTTGTCAAGTTCAAAAATTGAGGAATTCTTGCAGATTTATGTTGTCAAGCTCAAAGACTGAGGAAGTCTCGCAGAAGATTCATTTTCAAGCTTGGAGATAGACAGATAGAGAGACAACTACAACTGCGACTACAACTACAAGTACCACTACACTACACTACACTACTACTACAACTACTGTAACGACATTTAAATATTGTGGAGGGCGGGCCAGACCGCGAGGCCCCGGAGGGTAGTTAGCGTATGTTTAGATGAATTGGATTCCGTATGTTTAAATGGCCGGGCGGGCCAACCTTCCCGGAGGTAGTCTAAAATACCTGTTCATATATTGAAAAGCCCATTTATTTAAATGTAGTTACCGCACAAGTACAAAATATACTACGCTACATTACACAACAATAATTACACTACGCTACACCAAATTACATCAAATTACGCTACACTACACAAATTACACTACAACTACCACAACAGCAACTACTACGACAGCAGCTACTTCTACTTCTACTTCTACTTCCACCCACTTCCACTTCCACTGCCACTGCCACTTCCACTACCGCTTCCACTACCACTACCACTACTACCACTACTACCACTACTACCACTACTACCACTACTACCACTACTACCACTACTACCACTACTACCACTACTACTACTACTACCACTACTACCACTACTACCACTACTACCACTACTACCACTACTACCACTACTACCACTACCACTACCACTACTACTACTACTACTACTCTTACTACTACTACTACTACTACTACTACTACTACTACTACTACTACTACTACTACTATTACTACGACCACCACCACCACCACCACCACCACCACCACCACAGCTACAACTAAAACTACAGCTACACTTCATTACACTTCACCACAGCTACACTTCATTACAGCACATTACAGCTACAAATACAACTACAGCTACAACTACACTACATTACACAACACTACACTACACTAATTACATTACATTACACTAAAACTGCAACTATCACTACATTGCACTACACCACACTACAACTACAAGCACACTACTTTACACCACAATACACTAGACTACACTACGCTATACCACGCTACAGTACACAACACTACAATACACTACGCCAAGTACACCACAACTACTACAACTGCAACTGCAACTACACTACACTAGTTTCACTACACTACAACTACAACTTAAAACTACAACTCCACTACACTACAACTACAACTACACCTACAACTACAACTACAACTGCACTACACCACACTACATCCAGCAGTTGTGGTGAGCTGACCACTGCAACCATTGCAGCCACTCCAGAAAGCACAACTCCAACCACCTTTCGGTCCATCAGTGGATTCGCTCTGCCATCCGTGATTCACAACAACCAACCTCTCCTATAGGTTTCCTATTTTTGAAACTTCCGCCAACGCCTTGCGCGGTACTACTGGTAACTCATAATAGCCTCAACTGGCAGGTGGATTCTGAAGTGAAGCAACGCTTCTCCAGACTTGCGAACCAGGCAGGGACCGACCTTGTCAAGACAATGGGATGTGAAGTGCCAGTTCTGGGGGGGGTTACCGGTAGTGCATCCGCATCAGGCGGATTACATCGAAGACTGCATCATGGACATGGATGAGAAGGTCGGGAATCATAGAAATCACGTTTGTTTCCTAGAGACCTGTACCTATTGTACCTGCTGAGTAATTCATGTTCTTTTGTTGCATCATAATAATGTATGTTTGTTGAGCTCTTTCAGGACTTGTTGGTTCTGCTTCCGTCACCCATGAATTCCAGCAGATGATCATCGTCGTTATTTACTGACGCAACAAAATATATAGGTTGAAGTCGTAATTTAACTATAGTATGCTATAGTCAGGGTTGTTCCAACCCATCTTGGGTAAAAAATAACCACAAGGGCGGGAAACATGTTCTTTTGCATCATTTTGCAATATTTTACGTTTTTATATACCTGGTTTACTTCCCCTTCTTGTATTTGGGTTTGTTGAGAGCAACCTGCTGGGCGATTGCATTTTGAGGTGAAGGAGTCCTATGCTGCAACCCCAGAGCTATGCTGATACTCTCTGGGATATGTTGAACAATTGTGGCCAAGATTCGATTCCAAAATTTTGCTTCACTAAGTTTGAGATGGTTTGAACTCGATGTCCTCGAGTTTGTTTTTTTCTCCCGCAGACCTTTTGGTGCCTACTCTACCTATATGCAGATGCAACATACCCAGACTTACATGGCCATACCACGCGCCTTTATTTCATGTCATTTCAGTTTATGATTTTATATGTTTTTATGATTTTCATCCTGTCAAATTTCATAGGATTTCGTAGTCCTCATACGACCATCGGCCGTGGTGATGTCGCGCTGAGGCTTCCATGCATGCCATGCTGGATGAACTCATTGGAATCTCGGGTGTTGTGATGACAACTAGTTCAATGACCCCAGACAGCACCAGACTTAGTGAGACTTAGTGCAGATCCCAATGATGATGATGATGATGATGATGATAATGATGATGAGGATGAGGATGAGGACGAGGAGGAGGAGGATGAGGAGGAGGATGAGGATGAGGATGAGGATGATGATGATGATGATGATGATGAGGACGAGGAGGAGGAGGAGGATGAGGAGGAGGATGAGGATGAGGATGAGGATGAGGATGATGATGATGATGATGATGATGAGGATGAGGACGAGGAGGAGGAGGAGGATGAGGAGGAGCATGAGGATGAGGATGAGGATGAGGATGATGATGATGATGATGATGATGATGATAATGAGGATGAGGATGAGGATGAGGACGAGGACGAGGAGGAGGACGAGGAGGAGGACGAGGAGGAGGAGGAGGATGAGGAGGATGATGATGATGATGAGGATGAGGACGAGGAGGAGGAGGAGGATGAGGAGGAGGATGAGGATGATGATGATGATGATGATGATGAGGATGAGGGCGAGGAGGAGGAGGATGAGGAGGAGGATGAGGATGAGGATGATGATGATGATGATGATGATGAGGACGAGGAGGAGGAGGAGGAGGAGGACGAGGAGGAGGATGAGGATGAGGATGAGGATGATGATGATGATGATGATGAGGATGAGGACGAGGAGGAGGAGGATGAGGAGGAGGATGAGGATGAGGATGATGATGATGATGATGATAATGAGGATGAGGATGAGGACGAGGAGGAGGACGAGGAGGAGGAGGAGGATGAGGATGAGGAGGATGATGATGATGATGAGGAGGATGAGGACGAGGAGGAGGAGGATGAGGAGGAGGATGAGGATGATGATGATGATGATGAGGATGAGGACGAGGAGGAGGAGGATGAGGAGGAGGATGAGGAGGAGGATGAGGAGGATGATGATGAGGATGAGGATGAGGATGAGGAGGATGATGATGATGATGCCGACGCTCGTGTTGGGAGACATGATTTTCAACTGCGGGTGATCTCCGGGTGATTGTTCTATGTTTGATTGTTAGTTTCATTTCGGTATTGGCCGAGGGTTGTTTTCATTTGTTCAGTTCCTTGGCGGGTTGCCCTTGTACTCCCAGGTGTTTGCGTCGGCCTATCGATACAACCTGTTCCAACTGGTCGTGGTTTCTTTCCTCAAACTGCATCGCTGAGGTTTTGTTGGGGCCAAGGCATCACCAGAAGAAGAAAGTGCCGCAATGACACCCAGAGATGACGTGATGATCCCTGCTTTGCCTCCAGTCATGCCTGGAACGGGAACGAATCAAGCAGCGACCCAAAGGGACAGCGGATCATATGTTTAGTTTCGATGCGCCAACATAGCTGAAACAATGTGAAATAGTGTGAAATAGTTTGATCATGTGTGTGCATGTGTCTACATACATACACTGCTATCACATCTTCCTTAGTTTGTCTCTTTACGTTCCGACAGTATACGACTGTATTCCATAACATGCAAGATCATGCAACAGCGGTACAACTCAAATTGTGAAGACAAACAAATCACAGATTTTGTTTGTTTCTATAGTACGCCATATAGAATTACAATCGCATTTTGTCGGCAATTTTTTACCAACACCTGCATTGAACAAACAGAGTATGGGTGACTTGTCAAGCTTGTGAAGGGGAGTTCAGGTTGAGCAAAACCATGTGTTCCTTCACCGATCCTATCCGATCCTGAAGGGTGCAAACCAAATATTTTCCAAGTTTTAATAAACGATGGTTCGATGCAACTAAGTTGCGGGCGTTTCACCCCAAAGCGCCATTTGCTGAGGGAAAAACCTGCCGAGTCTTTCGTATTGATGGGATTTTGCCGCACTTGATGGGTGCATTCTTTATGACATCATGAGTCCACATGAAAACTTATCTAAGGTCTAGAGTGAAAACACTTTGCTATTGCTATTCAACTTGTTCTCGTAGCCCCTAGTAGGCTGTACATAGCGCAAGTGCACAACTAAACTCCTCTATGTTGCAAAGTTATTGTTTTTTTTTATCTTTTTGGACACAGCAGATGTGGGACAGCCATGGAAAGTTCATCATTTTCACATAGGATTGCGGCACTATTGATGTATTCCAGGAAGGAAAGCAGGTTCAATCAATTGCTGGATGAATAATACAGTCAACCAAAGATGTCGGACACGGGTACACCAATTTAAGATTTAGCAGAATCAATGATGTCTTTTTAGGTCAATTCACATAAGAATCAGCATGTTGCCGCAGCTTTCAGGCACTTACCCCACCTTTTCGGGGCTTGACATGGCTGATTCATCATATCAAGCTGCACGTTGCTTCTAATGTGAGCATCCTAATATCCCAATTTGGTCCAGATAACCAGCAACACTTGAGATTTACATGTAGGAATGAAGCTTGTACTCTCACTGTTGAAGACTTGAGAGCCTTGCTCTTTCAAGACACATGGATAAAACATGCAAACTGCGAGTCTTTGGACACAGCTACCCCAACTTGTGGGTTTCAAACAGCTCTCATGGGTTCCTTTCCCACGACTTGTTTCCACAAGGAGATTGGCGCAGGGCTGTGGAATGAGTCCAAGCCTGTTTCAATCATCTCATTGGATTTTAATGATTTAACCATATTGAACCCCTGGCTTTCCTGGAAACACCACAGTGTTCCCACATGAACCAAGTGCATGTTTTGGCCGTTTTCACTACACTGTCGAGGACGTAGTGGCAGAAGAAGGGTCAACAACAACCACGACTTTCGTCTCAACGGAGCCTTTGGTGGCAGAAACTGACAAGGCGAGGTGGGCCCTGGCGTATGATTGCAAAGGAATTACTTTCCATAGATCCGCAATCACAACATATCACAGCATATCACAACGCATCACAATGTATCACAACAACTCATTGTAGCCTTCCAAGCCATTCTAAGTGGCGGGTGACCGCACAGGGCGGGTGTTGGGGCTCGTAATGGCTCGTTTTTTTTTGCGAACACACCATTCTGAGCGGCAGGTTGTGCTGAGAGTTTGGATTTGGCCTTCACAAAAAGTTGGAGTTGTCCTCTTCAGCCTTTTGATTTCCAATGATTTCCATCTATCATTTGTTGGAGTCTTTTGGGCGTCTGGATATATCCAACTTGCCTTGACATGTTTGAGTCAATTCCCTGTTTTGGAAAGGAGCGCTTCGTTCATGAAGTGAAGTATCTTCAACTTGGACTCCAACCGTTGTGACTCCAACCCCTCAAAGGCTAACGTTGAATGTGAATGTCTTTCCTGCCTGCATCTTCCCATCACATCACCCTTCTGCAACAAGTTCGGCCGCCTCAATGACATCGCATTGAATTTGGGAAATGAGTCCCAATGAGTCTCTCTCTCTCTCTCAATTTGTCACATGATTTGGATGTTGAAAATGTTTGAACTGATGGCTATGTTCCGCTGAGTTCCTCTCTTTTTTGATCCATGTCTCTCGCACAAAGGATCCAAGCTAAGCTGGTGGGATGTCAGCGTCAGGTTCAGCAGCCAGAGGATGAGAGTGATGATGAGGATGAGTACGACAAGAGTTCTGAGGAGAGCTGTTGCAACAAAACTGGTCGTGACTGTCGCAATCTTTTTTATCCGCCTCAGGACCTTTGGCCTTTGTTGAAACTGCAGCGTCAGCTTGAGGTACGGATGGTAAGGGGCTGCAGTATTGGGTCCTATTTGAAACCCGTGCCACCTTGAAGACTGGTCCTATTTGATCTGCATTTGCCAAACTATTGGCGGAGGAACTGTTGTGCCTAGCCAGATTCTACAACATTTGCGGGTTGGAGCAAGGCTACAGCGACACTCCAGTGGTTCGTTCAGCCAAGGTTTGTTTGTGGTTTTATACCGTTGAAAGCAAGAAGCTAATCTTATTTATCGTGCTTTCTGCATTGTGGGCTAAGTTGTTGTAGTTGAATAGTTTAGGACACATTTGGATTCCGGACCCTGCTTTCTCCGCCGTTGAAGGCACTGTCAAAGCTAAAGCCAAGTCTCCAAGAACGTGGCTGGGCAAAAAATATTGTGAGGATGCTCTCCAAAGTGTTTGCCAAGTATTTGTTCACCCGAGAACAACGGTGGTTTGCAACAGTTTTAATATGTTTTAATGAATTAAATGAAACAATCAAACCTCGTGGTTGCGCCTCTTGGTTTATGTCGGGGGCCAGCTGACACCAAGGACATTTAGCAGTGTTGCTGCCCAGTGCTTAGTCTTTTTTAGCAACTCTTGACGAAGTGTTTCATCTTGAGGCCTCAGGGCTCTCTTTGTGGCCTCCCAACCAATAACAATGTGGTAAAAAAAACGTGTAAAAACTATTAAACAATCCCCCAACTGGGGTTTATGATTGGACCAGCGGTGTACCACTCTGATTACTCTGGTCTAACTTGTCCAACTCCGCTTAGGACTACGGGTGCCATGAATCCACTACATCGTGGGCATGCACAGCTTCTGCACCAGGCACTTGCCTATATGCAGAGATTGCAGTCGTGAGAAACTTGGAGGGATAGAAAGACAATGAAAATCCTAGCATTTCAGGCAGTTCAGACAACCAGGTGCGGTAGTTTAAGATGTGTCCCAACAGGAATTTGTGCACTTATGTGTACATGCAAAGGTTTAAAGGGTTGGCATTTTGGAATTACATCCTCCACACTGACTTGCGGGAATATCATGTTCACTGTATTGACTTTTGGCAGCAATCCATCTGTAGGATTATACAATGGAGTGGAACGTTCGGTGTTCCTGCCAAGAACATTCAGGATTGTCCAAATCGAACGCAAAAACCAGTGACCATTAGCTTACCAACAGCACTGCAATTACAATACCCAGATGCCCCATGCATGGAACCTTTGAAATTACATAAAGTTAGCAATACACCCAAAATTTATATGAGCCACTGCAAAAACTCCGGCAATAGGAAAGATGTAGTGCAAGGGACGGACATTGGTTTTCAGGAATTGTCCAAACATGCGGTAAGCGATGGGACCTTCCCAAATAGCGACACCCCATTTGAAGATTGTGTCATACCTTTGCACAAACATAATTTTCCTTGAAGGGATACCCCAGATTTGCCGTACGTTATTTTTGCGCAAACGTGTGGTAAGCGATGGGACCTTCCCAAATTTGTCAATGTCCTTTTAGTGAACCTTGAGTTTCCGAGATTGCGTAGGTAAAAAAAGGAGAGGCATTGAACGTACTTGCAGCCTTTTCAAGTTTCCATCAGAACTAGTCTTTTCTAAAGGAGGCTTCATGATGAACTACAGATAGTACCGAATTCACTTCGACTTCAGTCTCCGGGTACGCAGAGGCGGTCGATCGACTTCAGAGAGAAGGCTCTGGCTGATCCGGTGTGTGTGTGTCAGTCAAGAACATGGTGACCCAGTGTAAGCTTTGATACGGGCAAACTAGGCAAACTACCCTCCGGAATCAAACATGGCAACGGGAAATCCCCGTATCTAATGGAGATTTCAAATAGGTTTTAATGGGAAAACCATCTATACGTGGATTACTTTCCGTTGGAGTTGGATCCAGATCGAAACCTTGGAGTTGGACTCCGGCCCCTACGAGGCTTCGATGTGGTGGGTGCTTGGTTGTCACCATCCCACGATGGATATGTGCAGCCCAAGGCAGGGTTTCACATTCACCCACTGCCCACATGTCAGCCGTCATGTATAAGAAGAGTAGCTAGTTTGTGCTTCAATTCTCTGGAGATGCTTAAGTCAGGATGGGACATGTGCTCAAGACAAGACACAGCGAAACAGATTTCATCAGAACTGCAGGCACGGAAGATGAATACAATTGGCCAGAGTCTGAGCAGACGCTTGAAGAGCACAGACCTCACAATAGAGAAGAGTAGGGCCAGGATGGGCCAGGTGACATCTAATAGTCGTGAATCTATGTGAATCTATGTGAATCTATGTGAATCTATGTGAATCTATGTGAATCTATGTGAATCTATGTGACCATATGGGAACTTTGCCAGTTCTTGCCAGACTGATTCCCAACGAGGCTTTTCTGCTCAGTTTCGTTTGGAAGCTGCGCGTCGTGCTGTTTCAGAAGATTCGCTTTTGGCCGTCGGCAGCTGGGAGGCAGGGAAGCATGAGACTCAAGTCTTGAAATTACATCTGACCAGAACCAAGAAAGTTAATTCATTATTAATTACTGTAAAATACTGTCAATATACTGTATATAGAGAACATGTGGCAAAATCAATGAACATCTCATATCATGTCGTATCATGAATATCTTATTATATTATCATATCGTATCCCTGCAGGGGACTTAAAGATACTTTGCATATCCTCTTTGCAATTTCCTCTACAAAATCGCAACAGTTAAGCTTGGGAACATGGTGCATTTTAGGGCCCTCCTTTGTTTAGGGGTACCTACACAGTGTCAACGTTTGCAATTTTATAGAGGACCTTGGTGTCGATTCTATAGAGATTTCATGTTGAAAACAGGTTGACACTGAAAACTTGGAGCAAGAGCAACTGGAGTATTCAGGTCAGCTGTCAAAGAAAATTGACTTGGGGAATCTGATTTTATAGAAGGCCAACTCACCCCCCAACCAAAAAAAGGCTTTACGAGAGTGACTTGGTGTCAGCTATTCTATAGAAATTAATGCTCATAAATAAACAAGCTCAGTGTCACTTAATTCACAAGGGTTCGTTGCATTTTTTCCAAAACAACAGTGCAGTGTTCCGCCTTTTCGCATTGGTGAATCGCTGTGCAGGCCAAAAAACCTGGACGGTGGCCGGACTATCCCGAGGCAGATCTGTGAAGCAAGTGTAGCTTCGCCAACAGCTGCAGTGTTTGCAGCTTGACAGGTAGCGATGGCACTTCAACGGAAGCTGCGCAAAGTCGAAAAGGCCACAAAATCATGGACCACATGAGGATTGGACACATCGAACCCAAGAGTTACACTAGCTTTCATAGCTTTCCACTAGATTTCCCAAGTTTGAATATGGTCTTGTTTGTAGCGGGGGCGAAGTATAGCGAATCCATTAGTAGCAAATGAGCCCAACCCTTCAGGTGCGATATGCTGGCCCACGTCGCCAGGCATGGAAACTCACAAACGGCCTTAAGGCTGGAACGCTGTGGCAAAAGGGGCTTCAGGGCCATGGCGAGGTTTCCGAACCACGACTGTGAATATATTCATCACGTAAATCACATAAATCGTCCTCAAGGGTCCTGGTTTTCAATGGTTTTCATAGGATAGAGTATAGAAAATATAGAAAGTTGAATCATTGAATCTTTTGCTCAAAATCGGCGATCTGGAGTATTGCTCAAATACCGTTACCGATACATGAAGCGTGTTGGATAACGCAGAGGGAATGCGTTTGCCATGAACCTGTTCGGAGTCTTGTTCTGGGTATGTTTCGACCAAAGAGCTTCCATGGATCCCAAGCTGGTTTCGAGCTAGCTTGGATTCATGAAATGAATTTGTGTCCATTAGATCCCATCAGAATTATTCCTAAATTGATTTGATGTCTTGAGATGTCTTGAGTATCTGAGCACCCCCGGCACTTTTTTCCATTGCTCTGTTCTTTCCTTCATGAATTGTTCCTCTCCCTTCCCGTGTGTAGGAGATCCTTTGAACCACAGAACCCTACAGTTACTATAGCGATAATATATATATATGTGTAAATGTAATGTAATGTAGTGTAGTGTAGTGTAATGTAATGTAATTTAATGTAATGTAATGTAATGTATGTATGTCTATGTAATATATATATATATACTGTATATTATAGTTGCATGATTTGTGTTGTTCCAGAAACTCCTGCCAGACTCTCCAACAACAAACTGGAAATGCCGTTGCAAGGTCAGGGATTCGCCCCGCCAGGTTTTCTATGCTTGTGGCACAGATCATGCACAGACCCAGGGCTTATATCGTGGATTTCTGACCGACAGGCCACTTCTGCCAGACCTGATGCGATGGGGCTGATTTGGGCATACCCTGGGCATATAGTATCAGATTCATCCAAGGAAGGTCAGTTAGAAAACTTCCGAGTTACGCATGATGGTCATGGTTAGCATTCACACCATCATGTCAACCACATCATGTCAACCCCATAATCAAATAGTTGGGAAGTAAAAGAGTCTGAGAGTGTGTGATTTTACGGGTGAAAACACTCTCGGGCGCGAAACCCTTTGTTTTATATAACAGGTATGGTGGCTTCAGGGGTCGCGAAGTATGGTGTGCGGGCCTCGATCTCGGAAAGTTGCCGACAAAAAGTGCACGATACTGTAGCAAGAGCTCGATTTCACAAAAAAGAGCGTAAGAGACTGCGGTGCGCAGACTATAGCGCCGGATTTGTGTGGTGAAGTCCGCGCTGCTGATGCTGCGCGAACGTTGGTCGATTTGTGCCAACACTCCTGCTATGCGGGTTTGCAACCGGGTGTGGCAAAGGGCATTGGCACGGGCTGCGTGCAGGAAAGAGTTAGTGATGTTGCCACTCTCCTGCTCTGCGGGATTGCAGCTGGAGGCTGCTAGGCACATTGTACCAGCTGCGCGAAGGTAGTTTCTGAGCACAATCCACCCTTGTGCAGTGCGGGATTGCGAGTTGCAGAAGCTTCAGAAGTTCAGAGCAGCAGTAGCCCAGATAAGAGGCTGCTCAGAGAAGAAGTAGCTGAGAGAAGAGGTGCCTCGCTCCTGACTCTTCCATCCATCCCTTCATTATTTATGTCTCATTTGTTCGTTCGTTCATTCATTCGTTCATTCATTCGTTCGTTCATTCATTCGTTCGTTCATTCATTCGTTCATTCATTCATTCATTCATTCGTTCATTCGTCCATTCGTCCTTTCATTTATTCATTCATTCGTTCGTTCATTCATTCATTCGTTCATTCGTTCATTCATTCATTCATTCGTTCTTTCGTTCATTCATTCATTCATTCTTTCATTTATTCATTCATTCGCTTGTCCATTCATTCATGTGTTGTTTCATTCATCCGTTTGTTCGTTCATTCGTTCTTTCATTTATTCGTTGTTTCTTTGGTACATTTACTCATTCATTCGTTCCTTCCTCCCTCCCTTCCTCCGGCCCTTCCTCCCTTTCTTCCTTCTTTCTTCATCGACTTGTCGATTCACCGATTCTTTGGTTCATTGAAATATTGTTGGTTCACTGAATCAATGGTTCCATGATTGAGTCATTGGTTCATTTGTTTATTGACTCGTTGGTTCATTGATTCGTCATTGACTCCCTGATTCACTGAATCATTGGCTCATTGGGTCTTGATTCGCTGATTTTTGGATTCATTGATTCCTTGTTTTGTTGTTTCATTGATTCATTGATGCATTGGTGCATTGATCCTTTGTTTCATTAGTTCATTGAATCTCTGATGCACTGGTTCGTTGACTCAATGGTGACCACTGACTATTGATTTTTGATTCGTTGGTTCATTGAAGGGTTGGTTCACTGAATTATTGACTCATTGTTTTGATGGTTCTTTGTTTGCTTCATGGATTCGATGCTTTTGTGCTGCATTGGTTCATTGATTCGCTGATGGGCTGATTCATCGACTCAATGATTGACTGATTCATTGTTTCATTGATTCAGTGGCTCGCGGATTCGATAATCTTCTGCTTCATTGATTCATTGATTCCTTGGTTTAGTGATTCATTGCTTCGATGATTCGGTGCTTCATTGATTCAGTGACTCAGTGTTTCACTGAACTGTTGATTCATCGGCTCATTAATTCATTGAATTGAATGCTTGATTCAGTGATTTGTTGTTTCATTGATTCATTGATTCATTGATTCATTGGTTTCTTGGTTCAGTGAAACATTGATTTCTTGGTTCAATGATTCATTGATTCTTTGACTCACTGAACCATTGACTCCTCGATTCATTGATTCATTGTCTCCTTGTTTCATTGGTTCAATGGTTCGTAAATTCGTAAAGTCGTGACTTCAGGGACTCATTGGTTCAGTGTTTCGATGACTCATTGACTAATTGATTTAGTGATTCAGTGTTCATACATTCATTGGTTCATGATTCATTGTTTCGTTGGTTCGTATAGTCACTCGTGCATTGATTCTTTCATGTCATGTCATTGGCATCTCAACAACCAAGTGCTCATTCGTTGATGCACCTCACAACCTCAACATTTCATTGTTTCTGCATTTTACAGACATTCCTCTACGCCAGCGATTTCTTAAAACCATTTTATTTGTTGTTTTTTGCCCCGGCGCGGGCCGGGCACTACCTGGTATAGCGTTACGCATGCAATCTTCAGGGGCATTTGTCAACATCATTTGTGACTACAGTTTTTTTTTGGTTTTATATACATGTTTTACAAACTACCATGTTCTTCTACAGCACACACATGGATATTGTCTGAGTGGAGGGTCAATACCTTTGGATGTGCAGATGTGTACTTTGGATTTTCGAACTTTCACCAGTTTGCCAGGGGATTTGGCGTGGTGATTGTTCCGCGGGAGGGAGAGCAAGCGAACAGTGAAGAACGCGAAAAGCATCCCAGCAGCAACTATAAAATCCCAGCAAGGGGCTGGGCAAGTTAAGCCAGTGATTCAGCATTTGGACTTGCAGATCGCGGGATCGTTGCTCAACTGGAAGTGCCCTGAGGAGCGTGTTTGTGGCAAGCAGCATTGACGGGGAGGTGCCGGTGTGCTGCAGCTATGGGTGAGCCGTGTTGTGGATTTTGTGTTCTGAATAGATTCATACCTCACAGGGCATGGTCCATCCTTGGATCTTGTTATGGGATATGTGTCAGCGGCCGACAGGGGGCTGGCTACAACTCCACGATGATCCGCTCAGCGCTGCAAGTCAAAAGGACCAGTGTGGTCACCAGGACGTTGCCGCTTGAGGCTGGAATCGTTTTTTTTCCACTTCCTGAACTGGAGGATTTGTTTTGATTGCATTTAAGTGTTCAAGTTCAAGCCTTCAGTCAAATTTTGTGAGATGCAATCTTCGCATTGACATGCGAAGAGTTGGTTCTCCCCACAAAACTGCCGCGTTGGGGACCTCGCACAAAACTGTTTGCACCCTGACGTTTTTTGCACTGTCAGACTTTGCCTTCACAAATTCTGATTTTTGGAAATGACTTTTACAGGTGAATGTGAGGAGATGTCAGGAGAACAGTTTTCGGGTTCAGTATGGTGCATTGCAGGGTGCAACTGATACATTATAATACATTATTATAATACATTATTATAATACATTATTATAATACATTATTATTATGTGATTAAATATATAAATATATAAATATGTAAATATATAATATATATAATATATAATACATATAATATATATAATATATATAATATATATAATATATAGAATATATATAATATGTATTATATATATAATATATATAATACATAATATATTTAATTTAAATAATATATATAATATCTATATATATATAATACATAATATATATATATTAAATATTTTTATATATGAGATACAATATATATGTAATATTAAATATATATATATATATATATAATATATACATATAATAATATATATATATATGATATATAAATATATACATATACAAATATATAAACATATAAATATATAAATATGTAAATAAAAAAAAATTTAAGTATATAAATATATAAATATTTCAATATATATAAGTATAAAACTATTTAAAAATTTTTAAATATATACATATATCAATTTACATTTATATAAATAAAAATAAATAAATATATATATATAGATATATAGATATAAGTCATTCTCCTAGCATTCAGGTGTTGTCTCATTACATTCAGGTGTTAAGTTCGGTTTGACTCAGCAGCAAAGCAACTGCATGCACTTTTTCCCTTGAATTTTGCAACACAGTCGTGCTCTGGATTTTGAATTCTATTGCTTGAAAGGCCGAGCAAAGTTGCACAATGTAAATGTAATTTTCAATCAAATTGATGTGTGTTTGCGCTACGATTCGAATACTTGGATGGCGTTGGCTTGTTTGCAATGGGTAGTGCCAGCCTCAAGCCACAAAACTTGCAAACAATGACGCTGATCACACAACATAAACCGATAGAAAGATCAACTGACATGGTTTCATGACCAAAACATCTCAAATTCAAGCTTGGCTGAACGGTTTTTACATGGAAAACCTGTATGGGCAGCGCATGACTTCAAAGCATGTTCATGCACGGCGGCGTCCCGGCGTCCCGGCACCCGTGATGATAAAACGCAAGCCAATCTTGCACCACCCTTGGCGCAGCGAGCAGTACGGCGCAGTCGTATCAGTAAATCAAAATCAGACTTAGTAGCACATAATTCGGGCTCCTGGGGGGTCCGTTTGCTTCATGATGTTCTTGCTGTGGTTTTTCCGGTGAAGATCAAAAACCTTTGGATTGGTGGTTCTTCTGCCAGTCAAATTGCGGCTATTTCGTGAACCAATTTGCAAAATCGTTTGCTTTGAACAGTGTGTTTGTTTGGAAAGCGGCCAGTGTGTATCCCAAGATATGATTTTGCCAAAATATTGTTTTGCCACAATATCATTTTGCCAAAGTATGATTTTGCCAAAATATCATGTTGCCAAAGTCTTATTTTGCCACAATATCATTTTGCCAAAGTATCATTTTGCCAAAGTATTGTTTTTGCCAAAATATGGTGATGCCAACCGTTTATCGCACATTTCCTGGGGCAGATGTCTTCATTGATTGGTATATTGAAATTATTAGTATCCCTTTGGCATCTCAGGATCATCCTTTGTGGGTTCAACCCTGAGATGATACTTTGGCAAAATGATACTTTGGCAAAATGATATTGTGGCAAAATAAGACTTTGGCAACATGATATTTTGGCAAAATCATACTTTGGCAAAATGATATTGTAGCAAAACAATATTTTGGCAAAATCATATCTTGGGATACACACTGGCCGCTTTCCAAACAAACACACTGTTCAAAGCAAACGATTTTGCAAATTGGTTCACGAAATAGCCGCAATTTGACTGGCAGAAGAACCACCAATCCAAAGGTTTTTGATCTTCACCGGAAAAACCACAGCAAGAACATCATGAAGCAAACGGACCCCCCAGGAGCCCGAATTATGTGCTACTAAGTCTGATTTTGATTTACTGATACGACTGCGCCGTACTGCTCGCTGCGCCAAGGGTGGTGCAAGATTGGCTTGCGTTTTATCATCACGGGTGCCGGGACGCCGGGACGCCGCCGTGCATGAACATGCTTTGAAGTCATGCGCTGCCCATACAGGTTTTCCATGTAAAAACCGTTCAGCCAAGCTTGAATTTGAGATGTTTTGGTCATGAAAACCATGTCAGTTGATCTGTCTATCGGTTTATGTTGCGTGATAAGCGTCATTGTTCGCAAGTTTTGTGGTTTGAGGCTGGCAGTACCACTGCCAAACAAGCACAATTATCCGATTATCCCAATTGTTGCACAGACACACAGTACCAACCGGAAAAAAACACATCGGTGGCATCTATTTGATTGATCGTTTTCATTTACATAGTTCTCCTGTGCTTACCCTCAAACAGTAGGAGCGAAGAATCCAAAACATGATTGCGTGCAGTTGCCCTGCTGCAGACATAACACCTGAAAACAATGAGACAACACCTGAATGCTAGGAACATGATTTGTATATAAATATATAAATATTTAAATATTTAAATATACATTTATATAAATAAATATATATATATATATATATTTATAGATATATAGATATATAAATATATAAATATATATATATATATATAGACCTGTTCAAACGAGATGTTCTTCATACGTGGGTATGGGTCCAAACCCGCAACAAACCAAAGCGCCAAAGATCGTGGGCAGGCTGCTGACTTTCTGCTTCGGCCCAGCAACCAGGAGAGCCGTGGACATTCGAAGATTGTTTTTATGGTCTTGAAAACAGCGGATGGCACTGGAATATCACAACATTAATGCTGTTGAGATGATATCCCAATAATTAAGCAGCATACCATGAGTGCCCTTCGATCCGAATTAAAGCACACCTTGGCTTTCACACGTTTTTTACAAACCAGTCATACAAGCATGAACTTTATCCACTCGTCTTTGTCATTTTAAATTTTTAACATAATTTTATGTTTTTGCAAGACCAGCACTCCGTAGTGCAGGACTATACCGATTTCCGGGAGGATTTTGAAAAGTTTGGCTTGGTGCGAATCCCAGACCTGCAGCCTGTTCGATTGGAGTTCTTTATAAGTGCTAGTGTTCTAAGCTGTATATTGCCTTAAATCCAATGGTATAAACCATCCCAAATGGTAGGACTATGATTGGGTTGCGCATAGTACTGGCACAGGTAAGATTGGGCTTTGTTTCAACATGATTTGGTGCCAATTGCTGTGGACAATTGTGGACGACTCAACTTGTGAGGATCATAAGAAGCTTGTCTCGAACCTGAAATCCTGACCTCGGACGTCAATCTGTGCAACATTATTCTTGCGAATATGGCCTTTGATGTGCTCACTCTCAGATCGTTGGAAAATCAGCCCCAACTGTAGGTCAATGACAGCCATACCGGGGGAAATGTGTGATTTTACATAATTTTACCATATTTTCATACAGTCTCCCTATCTGTTTGCCTATTTGTTCCCCTGTGTTTGGAGTGTTGAGAACCCTATAGAGATGAGCAAACGGTCGCAATCATTCTTTGAGCAGTTCCTTTAGTCGCACGGTGTGACGCTGTGCTGTTCGTGAATTACGCGGCGCAGCGCAATACTCAATACTGTACCTATCCAAAGTCTGCAACAGGTCTGCAACAGTCTGAAAGTCAGAATTCCGGATCTCAACCGACCAATCCACTATTCTTCCCGAATGTTTGGACAACCTTGATTGCAGGGGGTAATTATGTTGGAGCAACCTGGATTCAAACATGCCCCCAAACCTGTGTTTTGATATTCCCATGCAACATGCGTTCACAATGGGTTTGGCACCGGAAACGCAGCTGAAATGCGCCTCCAAACCAGTACTTTCACGATCCAGCCAAAACTTGCGTTTGCATAGGGGTTCCCATAAAATGTTGAACAAAAAAACAATTCAAAATGCAAGTTGTTTTTCTATGGTGCAATTTGCGTTCACATGGTGATGTTTAGTTTTGCAAAATATGTTGTTTCAATCATTTATCAACAAATCATAATTCCATTTGGGAAATTGTTGGTGTGACTTTTTCGGCATGTTGTTGCGCGGAGTTCCGTGCTGGCGGCACGCATGTAAGAAATTTATCTCGAGGTCAGCACACGATCAATAGCAGTACATTTAATGTTGTATTGATATACTGTACGTGATATACATTGATTGCGCATGTGTATATATTACATTGACTGGCGCGTTTTATTTGGTGAAGTGAAGTGTAGTCACCCGGGTAATTACCCCGGTTTTTCGAAAACACCATATTTAGGTTGCCAAACGAGGTAGGAACACCCCGTATACATGATATATTGTTTTGTGTATATAATATATATATATATATATGTTATATATTATAGTATTTAATGTATATATATAATATTATATTATGATGTATAATAATATATATATATACATATTATAGAATATTATAGATAGAATGATGTATATATACATGTATTTTATATACATACAGATTTTATAACTATGTATGTATAAACCAATATCAGATAAAATCAATGATAGGTATTTATATATTTTGTTGTTGCCTCTTCATTTGCAATTTGTTTGTCTTCAGGATGTTTAGGTGAAGTGGAACTGCATGGACTATCATGGACTGCAGACTTTGGGCTGCCTGCAGCAGCTTCCCTTGTGTATGCTGCTTTAGTCAGGAATGTTTTTGCAGTTTCATCTCATCGACAGACATGGCGAGTCAGACAAGATAAGGATCATCTCATGTGACGCATTTTGAATCATTCAAAGGATTGAGGATTGTTTGTTGGTTAAATAGTTTTGAATATATATATATATACATAATTATATATATATGTTTCTTGAATTTGCTTGCCTTGTTTTTCCACCACCTTCTAGAAGTGGTGCGATGCGAAAGAGGACGCGTGACACCGCTAGAATTATGCGAGTGCGAAAAAGTGTTTATTGCAGTGGCAGTGCGAACAAAATTGGCAAATTTTATTATGCGAAATCATTGAGTTTGAACCATGCTGTCAACTATTGCCAAGTCTTGTCCGACATGATGTCAAGTGTGACTGTATCACCATGATTCACAAAACATTTTTCGAATCGCTGCCTTGCTGGAACAATTTCATGTCTTTCGATTTTTTGTTGAACAGGATAATTTTCAGATGTGACATGTTTAGTTTAATTCAGTATATTACCATCTCATGATATGCATATTGGATGATATCATATTATCATTTACTATCTATGATTACCTACGAATACTAGGTATGTTATCTTGCCTTCCTGCCTCCCCGTCCCGAAGCAACCAGGGGTGGTCCTGAATTTCTACTCCCGTTCCGCAGGCACCCAGCGCTGACGGCCTGCAATTTTTCACACCAGGACCCAGCTGGATTTCATCTGGGACCGCAAGTTTTTCCTGGATTCTGAAAGCCTGTCCGCCAAGACTTGAAGGCCTGAAAGTTTTAGACCCTTTTTAGACCCATGTTAGACCCATGTGCAATCCGAAATTCTCCAACTTGGTCTCCCAAAATCTCAGTGCAGGACAGGCACCACAGGACAGGGAGCCAGCTCCGCAGGATGTCTCTGGAAATGGAGTCCCCAAACCTTCCCTCTGCATGGATTACTTTGAAGGAGAAACCCAATCTTGATACAGTAATCTCACCGAGATATTGGAACCGTGGTTCGCATTGCTTTGATCATTTTCTCAACCTGGGTGTCCGTTTGCAAATGTCGAACATTTTTGGGAATTGCGGATTGCTGTTTTTTTGCTTTATCATTGCCAGACCATCCCAAATCAAACAAGAATTTTTGATCGTTTTTGTTTTGCTCTTTCAAGATCAGAAGTACACATCAATTCTTGAAGTTCTTTTGCCGTTGTGCTTGTGCCCAAACCAGTTAATTGGGCAGTTGAGTAGTAACTACGTGGTTTTTCCTGAGTGGACAGATTTGTTGGATTTCTCAGTGGTGGAAACAACCTTGCACATCCTTGATGCCTCTCTTCTTTCACCTTTGACCCCTGATTGTGTTGGTAGAGTGCCACATGTGTCAGGCATCCCAGCCAGGCGGGGTGAGAGTCGTGTCGTTTGTGTATGTTTATGTTGCTGATCTTGATCGGCTACACTGGGGTTCAAAAGTAACCAATTTCAACCAATGGGTTGAATTCCTCGCGCCAGGTCATTTGGGCCCCCAACCAGGGTCTATGGGCCAGATGGGCGGCCAAATTGGTGGCCAGATAGGCGGCCAGATGGGCCAGATGGGCCAGATGGGCGGCCAGCAAGGCTCAATGGGTGGTCCCATTGCCGGTCCCATTGGCGGTCCAATAGGTGGCCCTTCCCAAGCTGGAAGCTTTCCGCACTTTGGCTGCGCAGGGAACGGGGCCAAGAGTTTGTGATCACACCCGGCCATCGAGGGGCAATATTAGCGGTATTCTGGAGTTGTTAAGCCTGATTTGGAGCACTTGTCATGCACATGTGGTCATGCACATGTGACAGGTTCTTGGCATCCATAATACTTGCATGGATTAGATATGACTAGATCATATAGCACATGTCCCTCCCATGTCCCATGTGACCCGACCTTGTGCGTTTGAACAAATTACCAGCACGCCGCACATTTGCTTTACCTCGAACTAGCATCATGAAGATGAGCTGCCCATGCCTTCCCCAATTCGATTGCTGCATGTCTTAAGACTTAAGAGGCAACCGGATCATGCACCCACCAATACGAAGCATGTGGATCACGTGGACCCAGGATTTTGCATTTTTAAATATTTTGCATGTGCAGCCTGCTTATTTGACCTTCTTCGACTTTATTTGGATCCCGATATATCATGATATATATATATATATGTATATATGTATCTCATATATCTCTCTCCTAAAGTTTCTTCGTAACATTTCGTGACATGTTTCCGAGGCCGCCAAACTACAGCTACGATGACGATGTCGACAATGAGCCTCCATTGCTGGAGGTGCCATTCACGAACTGCGGCTTGAGGCGGTGTAGTTTTAAAGTAACGTGGTAATTGGGAATTATATGGAAATTTACGGTTATATATATATATAATTATATATATATGTAATTGTATACGGTATACGGAATAAGTATATGATAATTATATGATAATTATGTGATAATTATATGATATCATGATATATGAATAATATATATACATATATAAGTCACATATATATATGTATGATACAATATAGATCACTCTAGGATATTATAGCAAAAAAAAACTATTTCATGCACGATAAGTAATTGTATTTGTACAATCTTTGAAACCTGTGGACTGTGGACTGCGCTGCCTTAAGGAAAGTTGTGGGTGATTTGATACGTATTGTGTTTTTCTCTGAGGGTCTCACTTGCGCTGCGACAACCAGTCCAGCACTTCCATGGGAGTCCATGGACTTTTTGTGACCACAGCAGTAGCAGGTAGTGCAATATGCTGAGAAAGCCAGGGAATGATGTGGTATCTGCTGCCTTTAAGCAGATGTTCGGGTAGTTATATTTGAAACGGTGGCACAAGACATGGCAAAGGAACGTTTATTTTCTTGTATGTTACGGAACGTCCTGTTTGGTGATAAGTCATTTTGAGGCAGCATGAGTTCTCCTAGTACATTGGCAGGAGCTCGGCATCAACGTGGAGCACATTTTGCTCAGAATGCAGGGTGTGGCCCTGTTCAAGAAATTGGATGAGGCTCGAGGGTTGCCCGAGACTTCATACTTGGATGTGCATGTGCGGTCAGTTGCAACCTGTACTTGGGAAGTTTGGGGAATATATGGGATACTCCCAGTTGTCTACGGGTTCTTGTCCAGTTACATCCAGTTACTAACCTGGATGCACATTCAAGTGATATGTTTGGACATGGGGGCACTTTGCTATATGTGTAATCTTGCATATCGGCACACACACACACACTGGCCTGGTTTTAAGAGTTGGAGCTGGTTCCAGATTGGTCGCGTCAAATCGTGCGTAGTTCGTTCTGCAGGGTTTTAACTTAAAAGATTTGGCAATTCCTACCTGGTAGACCTTGTCGAGGCTGTATCCAAGTTGGAAGGTAATGATGTAGTCGAGCATGAACGAGACACAACTCCCAAAACACAGCAAAACCCAAGTTCCTTACGAAATGGGAAATCGGATAACCAGGTTTGAGCTTAGCCTGGGAGCTATGTCAAAAAAATGAACGGGTTGCAGGTACGTCACCAAGCGTCCCTGGTGATATCCTAGGAGCATATGAGGAGCTTCGTTGGATGGAGCCTCATACGTCCTCTCCATCCCCCTGCATTGTATGAAAATGTGCAATGAACCATGCCCTGTGTTAGAAGGGTGTACACACACACTTGCGAAGTCATGAAAGACGGTCTCTTTTCATGAATGCAAAGTCTGATTACCTCATGGTAGATTGAAGGCATCACTCGGCCATACCGAGTTAAAAAGGCCAAGCTTATCCGTTGACATTTGAATGTCAGGTTGTTTAAAAGAGAAACCAATACGACTCAATCAAACGTGATCATGAAATGACTGAATGACGGCATGCAGGTTCTTGGGTTAGCCTGATCCCATAAAGTACTAACAGATACGAATATGACCACCAGCTATGACCCCAACATATTGGGTATGTCATCCAGGTGCATCATGCAGGTACGTTTTCACAACCTAAGGTGAGTGTCTTCATTGGCACAAGACTCACCAAAGGTCCTTGTGCCCCCTGCTATGAATTAAAATGCAACGGTATCCAAAATTTATGGTGGAAAGCAGTTGAAAACTAGTTGGTTGGAATCAGTCGCAAGAAAGTGAGGAACTCTTTGGTACAGAGCTTGACACACACACAAAAAGGCACAAAGCCGGGTTGGTATTTCTACAAAGGCGAGAATGGAAGACATCATCAATAGATTGGTGAGAAACCGCAGAGGAAAATTTTGCAACCTCATCAGCGTGTTAGTAAATATTTTGCCGCAGCCAAAAGGTTAGGTATGCTTGAACTGCCTTCTGTACAGGACGCGTTGGCAGTCTGTTTTGGAGAACCCTTTCTGTACGTACAGCTGAATGAGTTGGTTGAGATCATCACGGACAAATTGTTTGGGAAACGTGTATCTGCGAATTAAGGTTGCACGGGACTTTAGTCCGGACAAGCGGAGACGCATGCTGCCAGCAGAATGGAGATCACGAATTTTCCATAGTGGAGGTACTTGGTACCTTACGGTTCGTTGCACGACATCGATGGTGAACCCAAGGAGTGTACCATCTTCGACGGTTTCCAACTCCACCGGCGCTTGATAAAAGAAACAATCGGAAAGCACTCGCATGGGCAATGCGGAGCGAAATCGATGGTCAAACAAAATGAATCTGTTGTCCACATATCGTGTGAACAGAAGCTGGAGTTGGCTGGATTGAACAAAAGTTAAATACGCATTTCTCCAGCTGCGCTCTATGAGCGTCACAGCCAAATTACTGAGAGAGGGAGAGATGTGTGATCCAATCCCTGCTCCACGATGCTGTACCCAAATTTGGTTGACAGCTTTAAACACGTGGGTACTTAAAGAAGCCTGGACACTTGTCAAAATATCTTGAACTCGAACGGTCTTGATATTCGATGATGTCTTCTTGCACTGTCCCACAAATGAAGTGTGGACAACTGGCCCTTTCAGAGCCATGTTGACCGAAACTTGTGTTTCACCATGTTGATTGACCCATTCCGTGGTCAATTGTTGAATCGCATCAAGTAAACGTGATTGAGGGACGCTGTTGAAAAATCCAACAAGATCATCGTTGATGGCAGCAAATTGAATATCGTCATCTGTACGAAAAAACCGTTGATGGATATGTTCCCAAATTTCAGGAACTGAAAGTTGACCGGCTTCTTGCGGCCAAAGCATCACACACATCGTATCAAGAGTTCTGGCGGTGGCCTGCATGAGTTTACCATAGCGTGAACCAAAATACGAAATCAATGTACGTCCTTTGTTGAACATCTTCTTTCGTTTCAGATGTACAAAGCCGTGAGGCAGTGTCGAGGATGTGTTAATCCCCCATCTGTATCGGTTCTGCAAGGACGGTGTCAAAGCAGTAGCAATGAGCTTTTGAGCATCTTCTTCATTTCGAGGAAAACGGGAAAACAATTCAGGATCATCCCATGTTCTGCAAGCAGACTCAAAGTAGAAGGAAGGACAAAACAGGGTGATGCGATGAATTTCATGATCAGCATGATGAATCACCACATTGGGTGGTAACCATTGAAGGGGGTGCTTGATGTTGTGGAAGGAAAATCTGGGATTAGTCTGCAACTCCTTGGTGTGAGCGGTCCATTGTCGAAGAAGTTCGGCTTGAAGATCACGATGAGAAAACGGAGGGCAACCATGATATTTAGTCCAGTACTGCAATTGTTCATGCCAAATGTTCTGAAATTGTGCGAAGCTGGGAAAAAACGTAGAGGAGGCGTTGGCAGTCTCAAAGATGCGCAACTTGGAGGGCAAGTTCAACTCATGGATACCAACTGCAACATGCTGATGGACACCAAAACAATGAATTGAAGGATCAAAATGTTTGATTTTGGCAATCAATTGAGAGCACGAACATGTCAACTGGGTCGGATCCTGTACAGGGTGCTTGTGCTCATAGTGCTTGTAATTGTGTAGAAAACCTGAAAGTGTCTGTGCTGCAGCTTCCCTCAGTTTTGAGGTTGGAAGATGCAACGGAATTGCAATTTCCTTGTACTGTAGGACATGATTACGTAAAAATCTTGAAACTTGTGCTGAAAAATCAGAGTGTGCCAAAAATGGCATAGTCGCTGGACGATTCAGTTTTGGTATCGTCATATGTCTGAACTTCATGGCTGATGCAAGAAGTTTCCTGGCTCGACCGCGCGCTGGCTGTTCTAAATGATTGCGAAGTCGGTACAACACATATATTTCCCAATCATCAAATTTCCCAGACCTGAGGGTTGTCGCTGTGTCAAAGGAGAGGCGGCCAGGACTTGTGAGCTCAAAAAGAATGTTCCAAGCTTGAGCTTGTTTGCAGTGAATGGAGGGAGGAACACCTTTGGTGATGAGTCTTCTGCGTAGTCTTTGAAACAATCTGTTTCCCATTGGAATAGATGGAAAAGTCTGAGAATGTTTCTTGTACTGAACCAACCATCCTGATGCTTTCAGCGTCAAGATTTTGGTGATAAATGGATGGTTCAACGGTGGTTGCCATCTTGAAATCAGTAAATGTTCAAAAATCCAGGCTTCTTGATATGTAGAAAAAGAGGCAATTGGAATTGCAGTAAAATTGGAAAGATCCGAACGTCGAGACCAGTACTTAACAGCAAGTTCAACATGAACAGGAGTACCATCTTTGGCCAGTCTGTACTTGGCCATTCTATTGAATTCCCGCTTGGCCATTCCAATGGATGTGGAGCCGATATAAAATCTGCCAGCTTGTTTGTACGAAAGTGAAGTGGAGCTGGGAAGGTTAAACTGCATTTTAAGATAGGTGACAGCTGTACATTGAAAGAATACAAAAGTGTAACTCTCTGGATTAATACCAAGGTTCTGCAGTCTTCGCTGCCAAACCGCGGTATGATACGTGCGTGATCCAAAATGGAAAAGACAAATGAGATGAAGCAAACCAAGGGCCCAAATTGCACAAGACTTGTTGACAGCAGGGACAGAGTGCACGATCGCAATAAATACGGATCTCAAAACTGTGATGTAATCCAGAACGGCTTTCGGCCGATGTTTGGAAACATCCATAGCTAGTCAAGCTGTAAGAGCTGCTCCAACAGCAACTGCCTGTTGGAGACTTGTGATGCTGAGCTTGAGGACAGCACTTAAATTAAGGCCATATTGAGTGCTGGCCTGTTGCAACTGTTCCTTGGTGCATTTAGCAGCCTTTATGATATGATATCCATGATTTTCTTGGACATCTGCTGGGTTTCCAGGTTGAAATTCTGGGTCCACTTCTTTACATTGGCTGCAGTGGTTCCGGAAAGCTGATTCTCTCTGAGATTTGGGGCCTTTGGCTCCAAAATCTCCTGAATTGTGATTTCTGTCGGAGAGTGCGTGGCAGAGGTCTCATCTTTTGGTGACGCAGCTGCCTTGCGGAACATAGGTGCCAGCTTTCTTTGCTTTGGCAGCGATTTCGGAGAAGCCCCTAATGCCTCGCTAGGTCTCTTCCTGTGAGAAGTAGAAACAACAGCAGGAGAAACAGGAACAACAGAACCAACAGAACCAGGACCATCAAGATCATCAGTTGGCAATTTGGGATCAGGGGCAAAAGTGCCGGTGGTACGCCGTGATCTCTGGGGTGTATCCGGAATGCCTGCTTGTGCAAGCTTGGACTTGGCAGCTTGAAGCTTCGCTTTGGTCTCCTGGAGCCTTCGCATGGCTTCGGTATCCTGTTTTACAGGACACTGAGCCTTGAGTTTATCGGCTATGAACTGAACTAAAGGTGCCATAAACTCAATCGGTTTGTCCGTGCGATTGGGAATGCCCTGCAGGGGGGCCAACTGGCGATGGAGGCTTTCAGCCGTAGCATCGATATCAATTCCTTGATCACGGAATGTCTTCAAAATTTGGGAACCAAACACAGATTCAGCAACAGATTTCGCACAAATAATTCCAACAAATCTACCCTCACTGAGCGCTCGCAGCGCTGCTTCATCAGGTCCATGTCGAGTAAGATGACTGAGCGGGACGGAAAGTGGATCTTGGCCA